CAGCTATGGCAAGCATCGTGGTTCACGCATTATAAGCTATCTATAAAAATGACACAGTATCATAGACACTGTAATACACGAATATACATGTGTCATTACTGCCGGAATACGTGTCTGTCCATCATCCATGGCATAAGTTTATTTTCCTACCTACCTTGATGTTCCCCATATCGCGACCGGTGGGTAGTCGCTACAGTAAACACTTTGAATGACGATAAATAGGCACAAGACAATTTCCTTTCCAGACATCACGAAACTGTCGTTGTTCCTTAAACAATTCCCGGTATGTAAGTATAAATGCCAATTTTCGTTTGTCCTCTAGAATATTTGGTTACTAATCGAGAAAATTGAGGCAAAGTTCACGAGCTGCTCCCTACACGAGATCTCGCGAGAACGAGCATTCTGGGAGAAATCCTTTTCATCGCCACCACGCTAAAGATATGGGTTAGTTTACTATATTTCGTAATATAAGTTGTGTTTTAGCCCTTATGTAAGTGTCAGCTAGTAAATTTACTAAATGATACAACATCATTAGTTGTCGTAGTTTAACGTCGTGCTAATTCCGGTGCGGAAATGCGAAAATAAACGCTTAATTATTACTGGTAAACATGCGAATGTAGTCACAGTACTGACACTCATTCGTAACTCGCTGCTGCCTTTCCGATACAGGAAAGCCAAGAGGACTTCGCACGGCTAGAAAGCTGAAGGAGCATCGCCGAGATCAGCGTTGGCATGACAAACAGTACAAGAAAGCCCACTTGGGAACAGCGCTAAAGGCTAATCCCTTCGGTGGAGCTTCGCACGCAAAGGGCATCGTGTTGGAAAAGATGTAAGTAAAGCCGCACAGCAAAACCAAAAACTTGTACCAATATTACTCAGTTATCATTCATATACCGGTAGACAGGAGACTCATATTACCATTAAATGTACCTTTGTGTAGCACATAGTCATAGTTTAATTTGATTTCTGTACATTCTCTTTTTGCGTGTCACGTTGCAGTGGCGTAGAAGCCAAGCAGCCTAACTCTGCCATCAGGAAGTGCGTGAGAGTGCAGCTGATCAAGAACGGAAAGAAGATCACGGCCTTCGTACCCCGGGATGGCTGTCTCAACTTCATCGAGGTATGACGCCGGCAACACCTTACTCGAGCGTTCTCGTTACTGTCAACGGTAAAAGCCGAGGGTGTCGTCATTGGCGCTTAAAAATCATGTGCGCTGAACCACTTACTGGTTAAAGAATTCCCGATAATTTTCACAGGAATGATATCTGTTAGTATGCACACTTGTTCGATAATGAGGAATTTTATGTTCGCTTCTACATTCGCAGGAAAACGACGAGGTGCTAGTGGCTGGATTCGGACGTAAAGGGCACGCCGTCGGTGACATTCCAGGCGTACGGTTCAAGGTCGTCAAGGTCGCCAACGTGTCCCTGCTCGCGCTGTACAAGGGCAAGAAGGAGCGGCCGAGATCGTAAACATGTAAAGCTATTACGTATTAAAAAACTCGTAAATCTACATGTACGTCTTGTGATCGAGTCTCGTTTAGTACACACACGATGCCGCACATGTCAAAATTAAGCCGACCGATGGTTAATTTCGCTCGGCTGCTACCATACCAGGGTTCTCCCCAGGATGAAATTCAAAACAGGGGGGAGGGGAGGG